ACCAGGCTGCGAGGATTAGGCTTGCTGCTCCCTGCGCCAGTTCCAGTTTCCAGTTTCCAATGTTACACTATTGTTTCTGCTTCTTACTGTAAGTTGTTACTGTGCGCGCGAGAGGGGGAGCCGAAAAAGGCCTTAGTTAGCGTCCCCGAATCGCGGTGTCTGAATTTCTGGGGGGCCGTGGAACACGTAAAAAATACATGAGATTCGTGTTCCCGGCGCAATGACTCCTTGTAAATTACGCTGTGCTCGCGCCCCCGAAGCGAAGGTCCCTTGTAAATTACACAGTGCTCGCGTCCCCGAAGCCACGATCCCTAGTAACATACGCCATACTCACGCTCCTGAAGCCACGACCCCATTGAGATGAAGCAACGCTCTCGCCTCTGGGGTCACGATCCCCAGTTACTTACGCCACAATTGCGCCCCCGAGGCGACGATCGTTTGCAAAGGTTAGTCTTGCTCCAGATGACTCCCAGATGGCCTTCAGGTTCGCCCAAGATGGACGAACCCAGATGGCCTGAAGATGGCCTTAGACGGCCGAAAGGGCCCACCAGAGGCCTCCAAGACGGCCCAAGACCCCTCCAAGACGTCCTCCAGGAGGCCCGAAAGGTCGGAAACCACCTGGTCCGACAGCTCGCCCGACTCCGTGTTCCCCGAAGGTTTTCGAAAACCCACTCGGGGAACGCGTGGCCCGATAGCTTGGCCAAGCTCACGCCCAACTTTTGGCCACACAGGCGCTTCCAGAAAAGAAGGGGGCGGGGGCGATTCGCCGTAAGCGTCTTCGACAACGCCAGCGTTTCAATATGCGCTGATGAATCTTATCCGCCCCCACACGCTGTTCCCAGATGCGCCGAGGCAACGCCGAGATGCGCCGACGCGACTCGGCGACATCCCATTATGATAGAGACGGGGCCGGCGGCAGGGGGCGAAGTCTTTACGGACAATATATCAACCTTTGAGCTCCTGTGCGCTAGGAGTAACTGCGGGAGAACAAAAGACCCGCTAGCACAGAATTTGGGGGCAGAGGAAATGGTCCCCATATAAAATAGTGGAGGCTGGCAGGAGAAAGGGGGGGAGGAATGGATACGGGCGGCCAGAGGTAAGGGGCAAGAGAAGGACGCATATTAACACGGAGGACGAGGAACAACATTCTTCCGTCGGCGGCGAAGCAGAATTGGCTGCACAGGCGAGACAGCTAGAAAGGGGCACCGAACAGCGAATTGTCCAGCATGCCAGACAGCGCAGAGCGGGCGGCCGCGGGGGGGGAGAAGAAAAGGCCACTCAGGGGCGGAAGAGTTCTCACCTGAGTGTGCTGGTGCGGCCAGCCCCGCCAGCGGGACCAGGGCAGATGCCGGGCCTCTGCGCCGGGGCACCCCCGGGCGCTGACGGGGTCCACTGCGGGAAAAGCAAGTAGACGCAGAAGTGACGTCGCCGAAATAGTACACTGGGGTACTAAGTCGACGGGCATGGGCCGCAGGCCGCCCAAGTGAGTGGCACATGTAGGTCCAGGTGCAGTCTGGGTTGGACTGCAGCCAGCACAACGCTGGGTCCGCGGAGGGGACAAGCGGCGAGACCAAGCCCATGTGCCCGACCACGTGGGGAGGCTGCGAGCTGCGGCAGCCTTGCGAGCGCCATGGCGGCGCGCGGAGGGAGGGAGGAAAAGAAAACGGCGGAGGGGGGGGGAAGGGCGAGGAAGAGGAGCGCCCTTCCTGTAGGGTGATCCCCGCAGGCGGGGCGGCAGCGCTGGCTCCAGTGCCGGTGGCCGGAGGGCAGACGGCCCGCACACTGTGCCACTGCGGATGTTTGCGCGCTGCCCCGGACGGCGGGCCAGGGCTGCTGAGGCGCGTCCAGGGCAGCAAGCAGGGGGCAGTGAGAGGGCATGCCTGTACCAAAACTGCGGCCGAGGCCGCGGGGCCGTGCGGTGCCAGGGTGGACAGTGCAGGCCCAAACTAGGGGCACCCGATCGGTGCGGAAGAAATGAGAGAGTCGGCAGACGCTGGACGGGGCCAGTCGCTGCCGGGGTGGACGGCGTGCGGGCCACGTCGCCAGGCCTGCCAAACTGCGGCCGAGGCCGAGAAACCGCGCGCTGCTGGGGTGGACAATGGGGGCCAAATCAAAGGACACCTAATCGGTGCGGGAGCTGCTGAACTGAAGCGGCCGAAGCCGAGGGGGCCGCACGCTGCCGGGGTGGACAACACGCGGCCGGGCGCCAAAGGAGAGGGAAACAGAGCCAGGAGGTGCCAAAGCGTAGATAGATGCCACACGCCGCCGGGGTGATTGGCGCGTGGCGAATGGGTCCGCCGAGTGGCGCAGAGGGCGACGAGGAGGTGGTGCTGACGCTTCGGGCGCCTCGCATGGCCGAGTGTGCACTGCGGGCTGGGCAAGAGCTCGGCGGCGAGCGAGGGGGGGAAATGAGAAGGAGAAGGCCTTCTCAGAAGGCGGCGGGACTTCTGAGAAGCTCTCGCGCCTTCTGAGAAGTGTTCTCTATCTTTGGGGAAGGCTCAAGAAACTTCTCAAAAGCCCCAGGGACTTCCGAGCCTTCTGAGAAAGCCCGCCACTTCTCACTTCCCCCCCTCGCTCGCCGCCGAAGAGCGGCGCGGGGGGGGACCCGTGTCTGCGCCATGGCACAGGGTAAGGCAGAGCTTTGGCGCCCTCGCGTCGGGTTCACGCCCGGTGGGCCGGCCGCCCAGGGGACTAGCGAGGCACTGGCGCGGCCCTGACGTGGGGGTCTCAGAGGCCTGGTGGGCCTGTCGTGTCGGGACGGCGCTGCCTGGATTGGTCGTTGTTGGGCCAGGAGAGGTCCGCGACGAGAAACATAACAAGGAGGGCACGTAAATATGTAGCGAGCAACGAACCCTGTCACCACGTCTGGGCACAAAGTAGGAGGCTCAGTAAGCAGGACAACCGTAGGGCTGCGAACAGAGAACCACCCACGGGAGCCGCTGGCACTTTGCTGTCTGTCTATCTGTCTGCCACGTGCGCAGACTATCTGTCTGCCTCGGCTATCGGGGCGGCCAAATGATGGCGGTGGCAGTGGATGGAGTTGGAGGAGGGAGGAGGAAGGGCAGGCGAAGAAGGATGAGGTCGAAGAGGATGGGGGAGGATGGAGAATATGAGGAGAAGGGATCATGACGAGAAGAAGGGGGCGGAAGGTCGGGAGGGTGGACGAGGACAGAGGACGAGGGAAGAGGAGCAGAAGGGATACTGAGGGAGAAAGGACGACTACCACGAGGGGGATAACAATGCTGCTGCTGACGACAACGAGGATGATGATGCTGATGATGCTGATGATGACGATGATGCTGATGATGACAATGCTGATGATGACGATGCTGATGCTGATGCTGATGCTGATGATGCTGATGGTGATGATCTGGATTATCGTCCCCACCCGTCCTACCCGTCCCTCCTCCCCCTCCTCCTCCCCCTCTTACTCCGTGTCCTCGTCATCATCCCAACAGTTGAATCTCCCTCTCCTGGCCCTGTTCAAGTGATGATGACGCTGATGATGACGAGGAACCATACATCCGACGTTCTGGTGTTAGTCCATACGGGCCCCCCAGAAATCCCGAAAGGGTCCTGTGCCAGCTTTTGATACCGAGTCGTAATTTGAAATGCCACAGGGCCAGGCGACGGCCGTCAGAGACCAAAAACTACCAAACATCTGTGTCTTGATTCATTCAAACGTTGGAGGTCTCGGCCAGTGAGCTCTCTGCTCGGGCCATCAAGACGGTAAAACTTTGGGTGCCCGGAAGAGGTACGGAAAGCATGGGCACGATGCCCAACAACAAATGTTGCCCCACACCGACATCGGCCGCTGTTGGGCAGACGGCTCCAGTCTCAAATGCATAATTTCTGCGGCGGCCCCGACAACGAGCCTGAATTCAAAATGGGAAGGGCCCGCTGTCGGTAATACCAACTTCGATCCTCCAGACAAACGACTCGGCGACTCCGAAAGGTGTGGTTTGCAGAGGGTGCGGTTTGCAACCCGCACCCTGGGGGGCGGGCGAGGATCTTGATAAAGTTCTCCGACGCGCCCAGAGGAGGCCCGACGAGGGCAACGTGTTGCAACCCAAGCCCCAAAAACGCAGATCGCAAACGGTGTGCGGCAAACCACACCCCAGCGTAACCACATCCTTTGAGCCTTGAGTTTTATTCTTCGGTGATTACCTGAGTGATCCAGTGTGTGCGGATGGGGACGGCCGATGATGTAACCTTTTTCGCTGTGGGCAGCCCCACGTATGCCCGCGCGCACCAACACTGCGTACACCTGCTGACCTGCGCAACCGGCAAAGTTAGGTTATCCGGGGGAGGGGGGCGGGGGGGGGGCAGGCAAGCCTGATGACCCGGGCTACCGCCAGACCCTAAAAACAACCAGTCTCTTTGCATGTAGACAAGGTGTGTACACATATCCAATGCATCTTGGAGTTTCAGGTTCCCTTCCCGAGCAAACATAGGCGTCGTCGATATGGATAAACATCTGCCCACCCAGAAAGACTGGACCTGTATTCAGATCCGCCGAGCCTCGGCCTCGCCCTTTCCCAGAAACTCAAACCCATTAGCTGCCGACGTGTCGCCGAGCCGTTTGTCCTCGACGCGCCCAAATGGACGCCGCCGACACCACGGTAAACCCACGGCAAACCTTGGACCCTGCGCCCCGAGTAGACGAAAACGGCGCCGCGGCAAACCCCACGGCGAGCCCACCACGCCCGAGGCGGAGTTTGCCCTGGTGCCCGCGGCGCCCTCCCCAAGACACGAGGCCGCACGCCGGAACGAACAGCGCAGCGACATATGTGGGGAAACCACATGGTGCCCATACCGCTACTCCCCGGACCTCTCCCGGGGTGCGTTCTGACCAAGTTTTCGAGGCGAATCCAGCGGCGACGACGAGGGCCACCCAGGAGGCCCACCAAAAGAAAAACGGGCGAAGGGTAGTGGTATGGGTACCCCTCCTGTGAGATTTACAGCTTGCCCGCACGTGACATCGCCAGACGACGGCGGGCCTCTCCTCAGCGCGGCCTGCTGGTCGGCGGGGAGCCCCAACAGCGCGGCCGCCGCGGCCTGGAGCCGCGAGAGCGACTGCTCTGGCCACGCCCCGCCGGACAGGTGCACGAGCCCGCACTCTTCGAGCCTCCAGACGAGGGGGAGGCCGTGAGGAGGAGAAGGAGGAAGAGGAGGAGGAGGATGAGGAGCGAGCCAGGATCGAGGAGGAATAGGAGAAAGAGCTGGAGGATGTGGGGTCGAGGAGAGCGGGAGGAGCGCAGCACCGAAGAGAAGGAGGTTTTTTTCGTAAGCGTCGGCCTTCTCGTGACCTTTTCGTCAGAGGACCAAGTGGGCCCAGACTATTACCTGCAAGCGAAGTCAATCTGAACTTCCCGAACGGGCACAGTCCAACCGAGATGCCGCCTGGCGTTTTTTTTCTTTGGGAAAGCGGCGGGCGAGCTCAGTTTGATCCACTCCAGTGGCCGAAGAAGCAAGAGCCGACCCAGCTGGAGCATCCCCCGGTCCAGCAATGGCTTAAGCAGAGCCTGGTGGGGGGAGTGCCGCGCCACAGTCCGTCCACGGCGAGGGAAAAACCTGCAAACTCTCCGCCGGCTTCTGAAGCAGAGGGTCGCGGCCTTCCATAGAAACCTGCCACGCGTTACGACATGCTCCAGGCTCTTCATGGACAATCTTCACCCAACTGACCCTCCCTCACGTACCAACGAAGGAGGCAAATACAATGGAAAAAACCATCCGTGCAGTCCCATACCGCACATCTGTGTCGGTGCAGCTGGGGAAGCCGAGGGCTCAAACGCGCAACGCCGAGCACAGAGAAGGGCATGGCGGCCCGCGCCTCGTTTACCCCTGAGACAAGCCGAGCACTGCCAACCTTCTCCAGCCCAGGTCCAGCCATGAACCAACTTCTCTCCACGCTGCTGCTGCCGCCGATGGGCGGGTCTACTGAGCATTCGAGGTCCAGGCGCGGCCACCTTGGGAGCAGCGTGGTGGCCAGCGCAACTACAACCTTCGACAGATTGGTCGCTCGACCTGCTCCAAAACATCTGGATTAACTGTCGGGTGGAGGCGGGCACCTCGCGTCGCGGTATCATCTGCCCAGCAGTCGCGTTGCCTGCGAAATCCGCCCTCGTGCTGATCCCTTCTTGCACGCAAAGATGCAACGAGAGTTTCCGAACACCTTTGATCCGTGGGCCAGACCTACAGAAGGCATCCAAGGCAAGACCAGCGTAGAGCCTGTGCCCCGAGACCCTGTCCTGACAGTCTCGAGAAGCAACAAACACAACTGCCGCACGTTCATGATAAGAAATTGATCCCCCGTCGAAATTGACTCCAGCGGCAGCAAAATTAGAACGCTCCCCACGTTAGGAGATCTGCATCTAGTGGGCCCGCGCAGGCCCGTGGACTCTGGACAACAGCTGGTCCTGCTCAGAAGCCTGAACGAAGGCCCGCCCCGCACTCGACAGCTCCTCGATACTAGTCTGGAAGCAACTGCCGTTTAGGAAAAAGGTGGCCGAAGAATATTCGGGGGTCGGGGCCAGGATCCAAGCCAGCCTCGATGCATCCCTCCCTCGAAGAAATCCACCTCGGCACCCTCCATGCCGCCCCGGGGAACGGGCCTCGGAACAAAATGTCCAGGGCGCGGGCGCGCTCCGATTATGAAGTCGACTAGCTCACCGCAGGGGGGCCGTCAGAGCCCCCTGCTGAATCCAAACCCACATTTCAACATTCCCCAACTGTTCCAACGCCTCCGTCCAGGCCTCTAACTCCCACGGGCGGTGGAAGAGCGTGTGGATCGTAGTCTGGCACGGCGCGCAGAATCCGGGCACCTGGTAGCCGGCCCTCCTAGCTCTGGAATTGATTCAGGTAACGCTGCAAACCAGCGCCCTCAGGCACCGCTTCTCGAAAGGAAACAGCCACTTCGAACGCGGGGCCGCCGAAGCAACATCAAAACACAACCTGCCCGATCCCTGGGGCGGCGGGGGGGGGCCCGATCGGGGGCCGGGCCATCTGGGGAGGGGGGGGGCTCAGCCCGCGGCGGCGTCTGTAGAAGTATCAGGGGCAGGAAGCATGCCGCGGCGCATGCCTGAGCGCCGCCCCATGCACAATAATGTTGAAAAATGACGGGGGCAACTCGGCCACAGAGATATTACGCCCATGATCGCCCGGAAATATAACATAATCACTCATGCACCTCACGGTTCTCTTCAAACTTATAACCATGGCGCTCATGAGCCCAGAAAGCGACCTCCAGGGGACGGGGGTATGCCTGCTTTGCATTGCAAGAAACATAAAAGAACGCCCTCCACCACCTCCCGAATGATGTGCCAGTTCAGGGCCCCTGGGAATTTCTTCATCCAGAGAAGCAACATTTCCCTGCAGTATCTGAAGATTGGGGCCACAGCTGCGCGCCGAGACCTCCTGGCGGCGCCAGGCCGCCAAGCTTGCTGGCCGAGGCGGTCGCGCGCCTCAAAGAAATCGCCCCCCCTGTCCGTGAGCCCATGCACTTCGCCTCCATGAATATACCCAGGCATTGGCCCAGAGCGCCAAGCGCGAATGCCGCTGCGCCCAAAATGAGACTGCATCCGGCGCAGCATCCGAGTCTTCCTCTCGAGCCCCTCCATCCGGCTCTTGCGCTCGTCCAGCGCGACCCTTTCCCTCGCGGAAAGGCGCCCCCGACGCGCCATCGCATTCGAAGTTAACCGTCGAGCGCTGAAGCTCGCCGGATGGCCAAGGAAGACCCTCGAGCTCCCCACGAACAACAAAGCGCGAACTGAAAAGGGCGGCTTTGCCGGGAAGCTGTCATTTCCAGTCGTCTTGACCCCCGAATTCTTTTTGCCAGTGGCAGAAATGCAAGAACCATCGGCGTTGGCATCGACCGAGGAGAACTCATCCGGCATCTGGACCAATGAACCGAATCAAACGCATTGAGGGCGGGATCGCGGATGGGGGGCGCGGCCGCGCCGCGCCCCCGCGACGATCCCGGGCCCCGGGCGGGGCGCAAGCGGCCCGCGATCACGGACCATCGAAGCAGACAACGCGAGCAGAGCGGCACGCCGACAAGCAAACGTCGAGCGCCTCGCCAGGGAAGCGCTGCGTGAAACCTCGCGCTTCCATAGCCTCAAGGCCAATCAACGAATAGTTCTCGCGCGTGCACGCGGAGGCCGAAACGGGGCCTTCCCGAACCCCCGTTTCGGGTCTGACGGCCTGGCGCCGCGCGCAATCGGGGGCCCCGCGATTTTCCCCCGCGGCATCATAATCCCCGGAGAAAGCGGGCTCCCGGGAGGGCGCCGAAGGCCTGAGCGACCGCCCCTGGCGGCGATGCGCAGCAGGAACATTCCCGACGAATCGGCGCACCCTGTTTTCCTCAACCAGAAAAGCGACGATAACAACCCGGAGCGGGGGCGGGCATATCCCAGACGCCCCCGCGAGAGAGAAAAAATGACGCGCCGACACCCGCGGACTTCCATCGCCCAACTGCGAGGAGCGTCGCGCGTGCGAGCCGCCGTGGAAGACCGCGCCCCTCACCGAGCACCTCTCGCCCAGCTCGCGGAGGTCCTGGGCCGAGGCCTTGGGCAAGGGATCCGGATCTTTAGCCCGGAGCTGCTGGGGGTGCCGACGGACCTGCCAGGAGTCGGATGGCCCGGGTGCCTCGGGGCCCAGCATGTTCTGAGGGCCCGAAACAACCTGCCCCGCAGCAGATGGGGTCGCGGTGGGCCTCCAAACCCGGGGGTCTGTGAGTGAGGAGCGAGCGTTCCTCCGCCTTGGCGGCGCTTGTCAGTTGGCCAGGCGCGACAATCCTTCCCGGCGGCCTCCGGGCACTTCTCGGCGCCGTCCGCGAGCGCCTCTCCCCGGCGGCCACGCGGAACGCAACGGGCCGAATGCCGAGCCTCGCCCCCCCTTTGCTGCTGAGCATCAACGGGGGGGAGGCCAGGGGGGAAGGGGTGATCCTTCTGCTCCTGATCCTGAGCAGACTGGCCAGTCGTGGCAGCGCTGCAGGATAACCTGAATTTCTGAAGCGTCGAGGGGGCGATGCTCAGCCTGATCTTGCAAATTCAAAGAACAGACATGAGGCGCCTCTCCCGCCCGGGGCGACTGGGCGGGGGGGCGGGGGCCCGCAGTGTCAGGGCGCAACTGGGCAGGGCAATGGGCCTCCCACCACGGACGAGGCGCTCGCCCCTGGACGCCGATTCACCTCCCGATCGATCCCAAGGGCCTTTCTGTGAGAGGCGGAGCGCTAGCGCTGCCCGTCGGCCTTCCTGACTTAGACATCGCAGACTCTCTGTCAACCTTCCTGCACACTCCAGTAATCGACATCACGTGGCCCGCGTTAAAATAACACTCCCCGCGTCACAGTAAGCAGCCAGCGAGGCAGCCCCCCCGCCGGCGCTAACGGGCGCAGTGGGAGGCGAAGCAGGGCGAGATAAAGACGGAGAAGGGCGGGCACCCCCCCGCCCCTCCAAGATCTCTTTCGCCCGATCAGACTTCCTTCTCTGCCCTCCCCCAACTGAGCGGGCACCGACTCCATCTAGAGATGGAACAGGCAAGGCCCTTCGCCACGGGCCGCCGCGCCGCGGAGAGCTCGCGGCCAGGGCGATCTGGAGACAGCTGCGCGATATCCTCAAAACGACCGCATAAGCACCTGGAAGCCCGCATCTGCGCGCGCGTGCTCGCTCTCCTGCTCTTCAGCAAAATATGTTTCCAGATGGCGCGAGGACCTGTTCCTCTAGATCCCATCGCCGGGGGATGACGGTCAAACCGAGGAACGAGCCCCCTCTCCGAATGAGTCCACCGCTAAAGAAAATCAAACTCGGAACCCTGGAATCCTGTTTCGCATCCCTGAAGCAAATGACTTTTGCGCGCCCGCCATGTCTCCTGGAAAATTCCCAGGCAGGCTGGGCGCCCAGGGGGGGGGGGGGGGGGCGCGCGCGCTGCGAGGGGTGGGGGGGGGGGGGGGCGGAACCCCAAGGCCCGATGGCGAGCCAGCTGGGGAGAGAATTGGGGGCCCACCGCCAAGCGAGGGGGAAACTCCGACTCCAGGCAGAGACGGGTCTGCCTCGCGCCCCTGGCCAAGCCGTTAGACGCGAGAAAATAGCCGGATCGCGAGCGCTTCGAGCTGAAACGCGCAGGGCTGCATGTTGAAATGTTCTCGCCTTGGCACTTCCCCGGGATGCCAGGGCCCCGCGCGAGCCCCCCCGCCGTGTAGGGCACGCCTGCGCGCGATAGGTGCGCCCCAATTCCGAAACAGATGAATCCGGCGGTCCGCCGCCCCTTCCATGTCAAACCCGTAGAGAGACATCGAGACGAACGGGGCCCCGCCAGGAAGATGACCAATCGCGCCCATGACTCCCCCTGGATAGATCAGTCGAGGCTGGCGCAGACTCATGGAGCCACGCGAAGGGGTCGCCGCGCCACCCGAGGTGGCCCGCCCAGGCGCCCGAACAGTCTCCCCTGATCGGCTTCCAGGCATGGCGAGGCGCGCCCCGAACTGTCAGAGTTCACCAAGTGGTGTTCCGTCACGCCAGAATTATGTGAGGATTGGTCGCAGAAGGGAGCCAGTCACGAAGCGCCCCCCCGAATTACAGCAGTTCGCATTCGCAGTCGCGATGACAAGCCCCAGGAGTCCATCATCTGGCGTAGGACCTGGACCTGGAAATCCACGAACCTCCACATCTTCCACGACAAATGCCGTCTGAACCCCGGTCGAAAGCTTCACCAGGCCCACAAATTTTGACATTCCTAAGTCGGGGGATGTTCTGGGAAACTCCCAATCTTGAGGCCCCAACTGGGCCCTTGCCACAGTGGCGGCCTGCCAGACTCTGCACCCTCAGCCTTGCCGCGAGCACGTTGTGCACGGGAGCGAAGCTCTGGACTGGCTCCAGACGCGCGCTGCGTCTTGCCAGCCACGAAGGCAGAGGCGGTGGCCGCGGCTGGGGCTCCAGCCTCCGTTGAACAGCTGCAGCTGCCTCAAGACCCGTGCCAGCGACACCGTCTCTGCCAACAGGGGCCGCCGCCGCCTCTCCTTCACCCGTCCTCCTTTTTCTGAATGACCAGGCGGGCGATGTGCGCTTTGTGTTCCTTGCGTGCATTGTCGAAGATCGCACCGGCAATGCCGAGCTTCGCCGCCTCGCGAAATTGATCGGCCAACAGCTTCTTGCGCTCCTCGAAGGCCCGCATGTCTTCCCCGAAGAACTCGAAGTCCTCGAGCAAATCGTCCAGCAGGTCGCCCGCCAACTCAATCTCTGCATCGGACTCGAGAATGGCGCGCAGGCTGAGCTTCGGAGCAGCGGGGACCACGGCACCTTCTGGAACCACTGCACGACGAATCTGAATGACCAGCTCCTTGCACACGTGTTCGTTGCCAGTGAGCTCCTCGGAAAGCTGTTGAGCTGACTTCGCCAACAGTTTGATATCACCTCTGTAACGCTCGAATGTGTCAAGTTCCTTCCCGATGCGTTTCTTTCACAGTTTGATATTGGACTGGGCCTCATTGGCCCTGGTGTGAAGGGGCACGGGCTGCTCCACGAGCGGCTGCCCACGGATAGCTTTAGCGCCCCTGTCCCTCTCGTACTTCTTGTACAGTGCCTCTTGGCCCTGCTTCTTCGCAGTGGTCGCCAGCGACCCGAACTCGGTGCCGGAACGACCAGTGGAGTGGGGCAAGGCGGGGACCGTTCTTGCGACCAAGCGCTCCAGCGAGAACGCACATCCCAGAAGGCAAAGGAGCACCCTCACCAGCAACTTTGCCTTCACCTCATGCCTTTATCCTTGGACCCGTACCCGTCGATGGATGGCGTGACTCGCGCACACGTTCCACCCACGTCTGCAACGCTTCCACCACCACCGCCCATCGAGGTTGCAGTTGCATCCGGAGGCCTCGCGTGTGGCCTCGGCCTCGGAGGAAAGCGGTCGCGCCAGGGACACATGGCGCGCAGCCCGAGGTGAGGAGGGAGCACTGGAGCCAGTGGCTCGCGGCAGCTATGCCTTTTTCAGAAGTTCGCTGCCGACAAACTCAAGCAATGCGCCAGAAAGGCTCAGCCCTTGAGCCAAACTTGCTACGGAAGAGAAGGAGAATGGGGAGGATGAGAAGGAGAAGTGTTTGGTGTTGGTGTTGTCTCCTCCTTCTCCCTCCTCCTCCTCCTCCTCTTCCTCCTCCTCTTCCTCCTCCTCTTCCTCCTCCTTTTCCTCCTCCTCTTCCTCCTCCTCCCTTTTCCTGCTCCTCTCTTTTCCTCCTCTTTCTCCTTCTCTTTTGCCCCTCCTCCTCCTCCACCTCCTCCTCGTCCTCCTCCTCCTCCTTCTCGTCGTCCTCCTCCACCTCCTCCCTGCTCCGCCAACGCACGCCCGACAGGTGGTCGAACCCGCACTTCTCGAGCCTTCTCTCGTCGGCGCGCTGGGGGAGGATGCCTCCTCCCAAGAGCTGCCTCCCAGCGCCTACAGGTGGCTTCGAGGCAGGGGGGGCAAATCTTTGGGCGCGACCCCACCGACCCCCAGCAAACCATTCACTTCGTGACGCCACCCTCGCATTTCAAGCTTCCCTGCGGCCGCATACATAAGTCTCAGAGCGAGGCGAGGGGGGAGTCACGGCAGGGAATGGTTTGCTAGGGGTCGGTTAGGCAGCCCCTGAGGTCTGGGGCCTTCAAAGTGGCAATGCTTGCAAATACAATCGCAACCATGATGTAGGCGCTACTATCTCCCCCTCCCGTTGTCCAAAACTTCACGAATAGGGTTTAAGCCACTGAATCCCGCTCTACATTGAGCTCAACCCTTGGCTCACTCGGGCCTAATCGGGCTCAACGCCCCAGGCGACCAGCCGAGGCAGCCTCCAAACCACCTCTCGCCCTCGCGAGCCCTGGGGAACCTCCGGCCAGGGACGTCTTTGGCACTTGGCAGCCTCCGATCCGTCCTGTCGGCGGTGCGCTGGGTGTGGAAGTGAGAGGGGGCAGGCGTTCTCAGAAGGCGGCGGGGCTTCTCAGAGGCCCTCCAGCCATCTGTGGCCTCGGAGAAACATGAGGGAGCTTCTCAGACGGCCGGACGCCTTCTGAGCCTTCTGAGAGCGCCGCCCCCTCTGCTTTCCCTCCAGGGCGCGCCGCCGACTCTTGGCGGGGGAGGGGGAGTTTGCCCGCATGGTGCGCTTCAGACGGTGCGTCGACTTCGAGTTATCGGGAAGTCGGCTACTTCGTCAGTTCCTGGAGATGTTACTGCCTCGTGATGCTTTCCAGCAGCTGCGCCTTGCCGACAGCGTTCTGGGGGTGCCTGGATCGTCCAGAAAGGTAGAAAGCGCAGATGCTGAATCAAACCTCCCAGGAGTTGCATCTTGACAGAAGCGAACCTGCGGCGGGAGCCTGGCAGCGGCATCGGCGATCGCTGCGCGGCTCAAGGGGCGCCCCAGCTCCACCGTCAAGTACTGCTGCGAGGCACACCTCAGAGGCAAATGAAACTACCTTGCTTTTGACAACCCTCGCTTTGCAACAAAAGGATACCACGATATCCGTGGGGCGGCCCGCAACGGTCAGACTGCTTGACGATGAGGCGTGTGGTATGGCCTGGTGTTGCCTGGAAGCGAAAACGGGGCAGGTAATTCAGCCTCTGAGCGCCGCCGCGCGCAGCGCATGTGCGCAGCCAGGTAGCCCTCCGAGCGCGCGAGACCGCCCGGAGAGACGGGCGGCGGCTGCGCGGCCGTCTTCAGGGGCAGCCAGACCCCGACCGCGCCGGAGCCGTTCAGCTGGCACTGGAGCCCCGAGCAGAACGCCTCGGAAGAGGAATATCTCTTGCTGTTACTTCGATGTGTCTGGGTGTACCTTGATTGACAGCTGGCGTGCTGCCCACACATGGATTTGCGCAGTCGACAAGCGCTTAGGGATGCATGTGCATAAACTTTCGAAGCGCCTCTGGGGAGGGTCCAACGCAGACCCACGAGATCTGCGCGGACCTCGAGAAGTTCACGCGTGTTCGTGCAGTTTCGAGCGTGCGCCCCCCGTCCCTCTCTGCGAGGCGGCGATAAATCCATATCCACGGCCTGGTGAGCCGACGTCCTGGGACTCAACTCGGCGGCTACACGCAAGCCGATGCAGTCTCTGCTCGGCTACACGCAAGTCTGCCCCGAGGCTTGTGGATGCCATGACAATGGACACTCGAACAATCCGATCATTGAGTTAAAGCTGCACTTAAGATGTGCCAAACATGTTCCCAAAACGTTTCAAACATGTTTTACAAATTCAAAAAATGTTTGAAACCTTTTTTCAGACATCTGGAAATTATTTGGCAGCATGCTTCCTCTCCATTTAATCGACTTCCACAACCCTAGGCAAGAATGACCTTTGGTGCGCGGCTTCACGCAGGGCGCGAGGGGGCCAGAGCCAAGCGCGCACGCCGCTGCTATCGAATCTCGTTCAGCGATCGGGGAGTCCGCATGGGCCCGCACCAAAGGTCACTACGGCGAAGGGGCACTCCGACGTGCAGTCGACCTGTTCGTGGGCGGGAAACGTCTGCGCGCGGGCAGAATTCCTCGACGCCGGCGCTGCTCGCAGGGGCGGCGGCGGGGAGCACGAGGGCCCAGGCTCCTCTGGAGCCCCTGACCTGGCCGAAGTCTGCGCGCTCCGCCGAGAGCGGCGCCTGTGCACCGTACCGTGTCTGGGCTCCCTTCAGGACCACCCTCTCTGATGCCGAGAGTGTGCTACGCCTGCCACGCTTTCCGACCCTGGCACGCATAGAGACCGCGCTGAGGGACCACGGACCACCGCCTGCGCACCCACTCTGGTGTCGAGAACATGCAACGCCTGCCTTCCGACTCTGGCACGCATAGCGACGGCGCCGAGAGACCACCCCTGCGCACCCTCTCCAGCGTCGACAAAGTGCAAGCGCCAACACGGTAACGGTGCACAACCGACAAAGCAAGCACCGTCCCATTCCTGGGTCGGAGATCGAGGACGCCTCGGGAGAGGCCAGCCCGGTGCGATGCACACAAGTCGTCCGCGGACCCCCGAAAACGCCACTGCAACATCTCAGTCTAAGTCGACCGAGATTTCGGCCAGAGCCCATACCCTGAGATCCTGGGGTCGCAAGTGTTTCGAATCAGGTATTTTCGCCTAGTTTCGGGCCCTGGGACCCTCACAGTTCGATCGGGCTCCAAAAAGGGCGTAGACAGATGGGCTGAAGGGCTCCCTTCGTGCTCTTCCACAATGTTGCACTTGGTTCGCGTCGTCGGATCCCAGGATCGAATCTGCATACGGTTGGAAGCTGCTACCTGCTGCTTAGCGTCGCGAGTCGCAACGCCAACCCTGGCGACGCGCGATGCCCTGCAAACGGAAAGCGTGTCGCTCCGCTCCGCGGGGTGGGAGGCTGGGAGAAAGCTCGGCACGTGGACGCCTCAGAGCCGGCGGAGCGACACGCCCAGCCAAAATCCCCGACCGTGCCTACACCGATCGAAATTTCGGTTGGAGCCAATAGAACTGAACAGATTAGGAGGCAACTACTGGGAGATTTTCGTCGGAAAGATTAACGAGGATTAGCGGGATTAAGCCGGGCAAAATCAGAATTCGACATCCCAAAAATTGCATCTGAATACATATTCACGGCCTTGCGGCCGGGCCCCTGGGGCCGCGACCCCGTGGACTGTGGAGGACGCAATCTCGGATGTGCCACCCCATGTTCGCGGCCTCGCGGGCCGGCCCCCTGGGCCGCGACCCCGTGGATACGGGGCGTTTCTTCGCGGATGCCCCGCGCGGGACGCATCCGTGAGACCGCGCATCCGCGGGATCGCACACCGGGAATCTCTACACTGAGGGCGCAGATAAGGATAAAAGTCTTAGCAGCGTAGCGCACTACAGGACGCCAAGTTTGAAACACGCAAGCATAATGTCATTTAGCTGCAGTGTCGTTTGTTTCCGCTTGATCTCAAGTAGCTTGGGAATCTTCTTAGCTGCATCTTCAGTTGTTTCAGCGTGAGCTTGAGCATTTTTGGGTTCGCGTGTGCGTGGGGGAGGTTTGGGGAGGTTCAGGGGGAGTGATGTGCTTACCACGCCAACGACCATGACCAGAAGCACACTGTGTTCTGCATTGCAGTTTGTGTTTTGCGCTGCTTTTCTGTTGCGTCCCGCATCTTCGTTTCAGCTTGAGCTTGAGAATTCTTGGATTCGCGTGTGCGTGGGAGGAGGTTTGGGGAGGCTCAGGGGCAGTGCAGTGCTCACCACTCCAACGACCATGACAAGAAACACATGTTGTTTTGCATTGCAGTTTGTTCCACTGCATTTATTTTGTTCGCGTCCCGCATCTTTGTTTCACCTTGAGCTCGAGCATTCCAGGGTTCGCGTGTGCGTGGGGGGAGATTTGGGGAAGTTCAGGGGCAGCACGGTGCTCACCGCACTCACCCTGAAGAGGTTGCATTGCTGCTTGTTTGCATTGTATTTTTGTGCGTTGCCAATCTTGATTTGAATCCCGCATGTTCGTTTCATCTGGAGCGACTGGATTCCTGGATTCACGTGCGCGCGGGCAGAGGTTTGGAGAGGTTCAGGCCATTACGGTGCTCTCCGCGCCAACCACCACTACCAGACACGCAATTGTGTTGAATTGTTTTTTTCTGTTGCGCTGAAGTGTTTTGGAATGCCGCATCTTTCTGTCTACTTGAACTCGAGCATTCCGGAATTCGCGTGTACGCGGGAAAAGGTCCAGGGAGATTCAAGAGCAGCGCGGTGCTCACCGCACTCCCCCTGAAGAGGTCGCGTTACAAATGTGTGTTGAGTTGCAATGTTTGTCGGTGCGTTTCTCCGCGCGCCTTTATTGTTGTGTCAACTTGAACACTGGATTCCTGGATTTGCGTGTGCGTGCGCAGAAGTTTGGACAGGTTTAGGGGAGTTGCGGTGCCCACCGCGCCAACCACCATGACCAGAAGTGCATTTGTTTTACATGTCAGCTTGTGTTTGGCACTGCAGTTGCGGCCCTTTTGGGCACTCTTGGGGGGGGGGCGTGTGCAGTCGTCTTGAAGTCGTCTTGAGCTTGGGAATTCCTGGGTCCGCGTGTGCGTGGGACGCGTCTGCGTGGGGAGACGTCCGGGACGTTCAAGGACAGTGCGGCGCCCACCGTGCCAACCGCCATGACCAGAAACGTATGCCTGGTGCATTGCATTTCGTTCGCGTTGCAGTTGAGCCCGTCTTGGCCTGTCTCAGGGCCTTCTGTAGAGTTGCGTCGGGAATCTCTTTGGCTGACTCAGAGAGGCTCCTTGGGCCTTCAAGTTGTGGGGCAGAGGGGAGATGGGATATATACATGTATATAGATATAAAGAGAGTGAAAGAGAGAGAGAGAGAAAGACATATAGAGCGATAAGCAAAACACAAAACAGAGAGAAAGAGAGAGAGAAAGAGAGAGAGAGAGAGAAACAGAGATAGAGAAAGAGAAAGGGACAGAGAAAGAGATGGAGAGGCGGAGCATGAGGAGAGCGGAGGGAGAGAGAGAGAGAGAGAGAGACATGAGAGCAATGTTGGGCCGACTTTCTGGCTTTTTTGACCCGACCTTGGCCGTCTGAGGGCCGCCTCTGATTACACATGTCCGCAGCCTTTGGCTCTTCCTAACCGGTCAGAAATTGCACTGATAATTGTTGGCAGCTGTCGAAAGCAACGCGCGGCCGCAGCTTATGCAGTGTGACATGTACAGTCAGGAGGCTGCAAACGTTGCCATGCAGATCGCACAGCTGTTATTCAGATGCGTTCGGCGGCTCCCGCCGCCCCTAGCTGATGCAGTCATTCTGGTATGCTTGGTTGTTCTGCTGGCACTCATTTGCGTCGCTTGTCGAGATACCCTGTCTGGCATCATCGTGGAGTATTTTGTTCGACAACAATGTCTGGCGGAATTGGCGTGTCGAAGTACACGGCCGTGGTCAAAACTATGCAGGATACAATTGTTTTGGATACGAAGCCTCCTGCAACTTTGAAAAGGGGAACGAACAGAATTGCACACCCAAATGTTGTCTGGTTTGTTTTATTGGTGCACTAACACCATTCCAACGTATTGGGGGGTGGAACGCAGTTCCGTTATGAGCACTCACCGTGGTCTGGCTGCTGTGTATGATCCAGCTGTTCGGAAAAAGGCCGCCTGGATTTGTTCCGTTTCGCGCTTCCCCGACAATCCGCTCAGAAACGTTGCCCATGAGAGCTGACGGGACGGGGGGGGGAGACACACACTGAAACGAAGCGGGCCAGAAGGGCGAACGGAGAGCAGACAAGAGGGTGGTCCTGCAGAGCCTCTCCGGGCCATCTCCTGAGCCCTCGTGGGGGAGACGGGACGAGGAAGAGGAGGAAGAGGAGGAGGACGAGAAGAGGACGACGACGACGACGAAGACGTTTTCCTCTGCAGGCCGCAGAGGCGAAACCAGTCAGCAACGTTTAGCTTGAGACCTAAAAACCAGCAGTGGTTGCAGCCTCACGTGCCTGCGCGCGGAAAGCGCACGCCAGGGGCAAACAATTAGACTCTATCTGGCCCAAACAGCAACGTTTAGCTTGAGATTGAAGAGCCCAGCGGGAACGGCTTAGCCACAGATGAAGCACAACAAATTGCGTAGCCCGCGTTGGCATCCTTCGGTGCCTGTTCACGGGCCTGCACTTCCGCAAACAAAGCCGCCATCCTCTCGTTCTGAAGGAAGGCGGAGAGGCCTGAGTGCTGCTGCGACGACGCGGGCCTGGCTGGACACATCAACAGGCGGAGGCGTCTGCGCAGCATAGCATTAAAAAGTCCACGCCTAGACGAGCGGGACGTACTCCT